CATCTAAACGATGAAAGACAGTTTGCACCGTAAAATATCACCTTACACATGACGACTGAGTACAGTCTTTCTGGTCTGTTATTTCAATTAAATTTTTTTGGTGATATCACTTGATCTGGGATGCTTAGTGCTTTTTTTTGCAACTTTTAGGTCAGGATTTGTGGCTGTGTTTGGTGATAGCACGTGTCTTGAAATCGGTACGAGTTCCGAGACAAAAAGTTGCACATTTTTGTTAGAAGCACTTCTTGAAAGCGCATTGGAAGGTGACCTGATTGAATCCATGCGACATGCTTTACGACCGGTTAGCTTCGTTTCCGTCTTTTTTTTTTACTGCGCGTTTTTTTGCCCACTATTTTTACTTTTCTTGAAAATATATTTTACTTTATGAATTGGATTTAGCTAAAGAGAGGAGTAGTCCATACGATTCGTTCATTCGTTTCAATGGTAAATCGGTACTGGCGTATGTAAAGAAAGAACAGGGCGGGTCGTGGAGACCCTACCAGGATCATATTAATGGGAACTATAAACAGCCCGTCCGAAGGGCTGCAAAAACCGGCCGACGTAGTGAGGGTCAGAAATTAAAATACAAACAAACTAAGAAAAGTCCGGCCGACGTCAGCAGATCGGTGTACGAAATCCAGATTACTGTTATCTTGCTTCTAAGCAATCCTCTGATCATGCGAGCGAGTGGTTACTTTTTGCAATGTGCTCCCAGTGAAACTAATACCGTAGGTAAAAAGAAAATTTTAAATCTTCCAACAGTTTCTGTTTTATCAGTGTACATTATCGTACATCGATGCAGCTTGTGTATATCCGCTTTTGCTTATTTCTGAGGCTGCTACATCTAAATTACATTTTATAAGCGCAAAAGCAATTGTTCCTTGGTCGTTTTGCATTTCGCGGGCGCCATTCAGCATTTCGTTTTGCTCATCTGTTGTCTCTCATTCTTGCCAAATGACCAGCTTTGATGCCTTTTTTAGAATTCTTTGCTTCCGTAATTGTACTTGTTAGGATTTTCAAAAAAATTCAGTATTTTTGACGTGCTTGGAATAATGTTGGTAACAGCTTTTAATAAGTTTTTGGAGTTTCGCTCGTCAACAACTGTTTGTTTCAGAATGGCTTAAATACCTCGCAGAAATATGCACAAACTTTGCCGCCACCAAAGCGAATTACTACTTCGAATTTCGCGAAATATTCAAAGGTAATGATATTCAAATTTTTCCGTTGAAATTTTACTTCAGTTGCGCTACTTCCCAGATGCCTTCGAATATGGGGAATTTTCGCCTTTTTTTTGGTTTTCAACGACGAATTCATCTTTTTTTTGGAAGAAAATCCTTTAACGGTGTGTTTTTTTCACTGAATATCCCTTCTTAGCGAGGAACTGGAAGAAGGGGGCTTAGGAAAACGCTACTTTCGGAGGAGGCACGAAAAAGAACCCCCAGCCTATCTTCAAAAAGTCATGTTAAATTTGCCCTGAGAGAGAGATCGGTTTTTATTGAAATTAGTTTCTGAGAGCTCGTTTTTCGTAAGTAAAAAGGATATTTCAGGTAGTAATGAACTTCACAGCTGATGCGCAACCAATCTATCGAAAGGAGCCGGAATGTAGAACGCTTTCAAGTGCTGCATCACAACCGATTGCTAACGCTACTCTTTCGTCGTAAGTGATTTTCTCCCTACACGACATCTCGGAACAGCCACGG